AAGTTGAAAATTGCCGCTCGATCACACGGCCGCCCTCTGCTGGTATTGGTCAAACTAGGCCTCAGAGAGAGAAAAATCGAATTAGAGCAGGTAGTTTCGTTAAGTGGATGAGGCCCCTCTCCCAGCTCTCACTAACGAACCTCGGGAGCCGCGTGAGCCCGATGAGCCCAGGTTGCCGGGCCCTGCCCTAGTCAGTAATGTCGCTCAGTCTGGATTCTTCGTTTATCCCAGGAGGGTCTTCGCCGTTGGAAGGCGCCACCAACACGATATTCGCGTATTTCTAGGTGGTTCCAACGTGAAATTAAAAAAAAAACAATTTTCTGGTGTCTGGGGCACTTGGCCAATACACAGAAATTGTCCGCTCGTGTTCCATGCCCAAATTAGTCCCCTGAGCGGGGAACGGCTAGGACCTCCTTTTCGCGAGAAAACGCGGTCCCTCCTCGGAGAAGGGGTTTTCTCCCCTCAATCCCAAACTTTTCCATTTTCCTAAGGGAAAAAGAACTTCATCTCCCACGTACCACTATCCCCCGCCTGATGAAGAGAGTGATGTACCAGATCGATGGGAAATCTTCCCCTTTCGGTAAATTATCTTTTCGAGAGGATGATATTTATTATATTTAAATAATAAATTCCCCTTACGTGTTACATGAGGGTAACTCTCTTCTCAGTGCTGGGGGTGAGCTCTTTTCCATTTTTTTTTCTGAGAGAACCTCCCGACGCCGTCCGGGTAATTCTCCCCCGGGTGATGAGGACAACAACCCTTAACGCGTGTAAAAACTCTTCCCAAAATTCTATGGACTGCATTTCAGGACACTTTCCGTAGAAATTCCTTGTTTATTACCCTACTGATAACGACTTCTAGGCTTTTTTCTTTGGCAATTCTTTTTGTCACTTTTTCTGGCGTGGCCCCACGTTGGTCGCCATTTTGTAAGAGGATTTTTCCCGGGTCAACACCCCAGGATACTCCTCGAACTATTCTGGCTACCGCCTCTATCGTTCACGATTGGGCGCCAGCCAGGTTTTTCTGGAAAACCTGACGGAAAACCAGCCACGAAGGAATTTCGTCAACTCCGCGGACTTTCGGTGGCGGGTCTCACAATGTCTAGCCAGCATCAACATGACACGGTAGAGTGGCCGAGTTTCACCAACGTACCAGTAACTCCAATCGCTAACTTTTGCCGCGCTTACGGCGTCGTCATCGATATCTTTCGGGGGCCGTATTCCCCAAAACTCTCGTGGAGGAATGTGACCATCCCTCGCACGCTGTACTCTCTCCTCTGGGGTGGCTCAACCCCAAAAGAGACACAGATCACCTGCGAATCTTTCTCACCCCGCAGGGTGCCGAGCTCCTCGAGGCACATGCGACGCAGGTATCTGGAGACCTTTCTCACCCACCTAATGTCCACCCCAACTCCAGAACTCGGTAATAGCAATCTCATCGCGAGTCAAAAGCAGAGTTACTTCCCATGGAGGCGCGTGCGACCGGACCGACGGGAAACGCCTTGAATCCCGGCCCTTAGTCCACCCCAACACCATGAGTTTCGCCGTAGAGATGGATCTCTGTAGCCTCGGACTCTCGTCCGCAGCCTCAAAGCAATCCATTTTACTGATCGGGACGCATAAGCGTCGCCTTCTCACGCTATTCCAAGATTCCTTGGAACCACGTACCCCTCATAATCCCGGCAGGGATTATTGCCTCCAACTGATCCCGAGCTCCTAAAATATCCGCTCGAGACCAGCACTCTACGCTAAGTGCCCTGAAATCTCCCAGGGCCTTCTCCCCCTAGTCTGAGCATCTCAGCGACCGTGGGTCATCCTTTTAAGACGGAAGTAATAAATCAGTTTGACAATTTTCGAGATTGATTAAAAAATATTATTTTGCAATTATTGATTATAGCTTGGATTGTCAGAAATTTTCTCACAATCATTTTAATGTTAAAATTCCCTCGCTGCGATAGTTTCAACGAATGGTTTCAATTGGCGCAGCTTGATGGAGTTATTTGGTAAGATAATTTCCTTCAACTCAATTGTTTTCATTTAAAGTAAA